CTAGAATAAGAATGCGGGTTTTTTTCAGTTTATCTTGTATGTCTTCCAGAGCAACCTGCACCCACTGTTAAGGACTTCAGGGAAATGTGGAGCCTTTTAGAAAGAAGCTGAGCCACACCGTGTGGTGATATAATCACGTTTTCTATTCAGTAGTATAATTCTAATTTTAACTCAGTAGGTTACAAATGAGCTTTTTTAAGAGCTTTTGTACACAGTATTTTAGCACTGGGCAGGGAAAGGAAATTCACTTTGTTCAGGAACATTGGAGATCTGAGTTTTTAAAACACAGCTGGCAGGCGCAGGCAGGTTTCAGTAAATGCATTTGCACAGTTCCTGGGAGCTGCACTGAAAGCTAACCAGAGAGCCTATCAGACTTGTCAGACAAGTCGGCCACTTGCAGGCAATTTGCACATACAGTTGCATGCACATTTGCATGTGGCTGACGGAAAATCAGGCTCCTATGCTCTCCAATTTCGGTGTGGTGCTCCTCCTGATGCATTGAGCTGCAATGCAAGATATATAGGGGAAATATCAACAACCAAGTTTGAGGAAGAGAAGCAAAGTTGGAAGAAGTGTAATTGCCCAAGAAACAGTGGGTGTAACTCTACCTATTTTCTCTGTCCCAGAGAGCTTTCTCAGTTGCTATAAAATAACTTCGTTATCTTCAGTGATTTGAAAGGATACATTAAGAGGATGATGATCTGCAATGTAATTGATCTCTAAGGAGAGAATCACGTTGGGAGGCATTGTTAGTGCAAGTGGTCTGATGAAGCATTTCTGTGCTCCAGTCCTATTTCAGAGGCTGAGATTTTCAGAAAGGACATCTTGCTTTGTCACAAATGGCCCTCTGAGGTTCAGTTTTGTCTGACACTGGATTTTTGTAACAAGACTGATTTAAACCAAAGAAAGTGGTAATTGTAACTGCACATCTGTAACAGGAGTTGTCTCTGTAATTACTGAGGCATACAACAAACATGTAGGTGACAAACATTTCTTTTAATCCCAGATTAGCATGCTCTTTCTAGTTTTAACTGGGTTGATTCTGAGCTGGTAGGTGGAGGGCTGCTGCTATGAGATTTGTGCTTTTAATAGGGAATCCTGCTGCTAGTTTTTTGTTTTCATGCAGATCATGTTTTTCTAGGTAAATGTTCCAGTCTCTGACAGTGCTCTATGCTGGTTTCTCTTGAAATGAGATGAACTTGCTGTTTACGCATCAATTGTGCCTGTGATGGCTTATCATTACTGTGAGAAGTAACATATTTGCGTCAAAGGTTTTATGGAGTCTGTCATGGTTCAGGGCAGCTGCAACTGTATCTTCCCTCAGTGGTTCAGCAAGGGTACCCTACTCTGACATCTAGTTCCTCAGCTATTACCTCTTTTGTGTGGAGATTCACATGTATTTCCACTTGACCTGAGTGTTTCCGGGCTGTACAGCTTCCTATTTTCACAATATATTTCCCAGCAAAGACAGTCTGCCTAACCAGACATGATTGGCTTTCTCGTCTAAGACTGATAACTGAGTGATCACTATAGATATGTTACCCCACAGTTTCCTATACAAGCCTATTTTATTTTTAAGGTAAAAACACTGCAGAGAAAACCTATTAAAAACAATGAAAGAACCTACATGCATGCTAATAAGCTTAACAGAGTTCATATCAGCTCTTCATAGTAGGGATATAAAAGACTAGTTGAGTCGTCTACTTGTATTCCCCCTCCTCTTTTTGCTGCCTCATTCAGAGGCAGCAAGTAGGGTAAGCAGGAGCCAAAGCTGGGGAGAGCTGTCTTAAAAGCTGGTTCCCCACCACCACTGTCTGTGCAGTGTTGTTTTTCATCTCTCTTCTCCACCCTCCCCCCCTCCAATCGCTGCTGCCGCTGCCTCTGTTAGAGGTAGAATTGCGGAGAGGCTGCTCCAGCAGCAGCCCCTGTCCATGGTGACTCCCAGTTCCCTGCTGGCTCCCAGCCCCTCTCCACCCTTGCAGCTGCTTCTGGAGGTGCTTACCTTTCAGTCTCCATTCACACCTCATTCATTTCAACAGGACAATTAAGGAAAGGGGGGAGATCTCAAAAGAGATGTTTCTTTACCTTAACTATTCCTAAGACCTATAACATAAAGAGCTTGATACAAAGTTTCTATGGACTTAATACAAGGGATTCTATAAGAAGACCTAACATAAAGATATATCTAAAAGGATATAAAAGGAATTACAAAGTTATATGAGAATGATATATGGTTATATGGACAAGATCTTAATTCAAAGTTATATGATACATGGTTATATGGGAATGTTACCGAGATTTATCCACAGGGGAGCGGCAGCAGGAGCTGGTGCTTGGGGGAGCCAGCTTAAAAGCTGGTTATCCACAGCAGTATGCAGGGGGGAATGGGCGGCAGAGCCGCAGTGGTCCTGGAAGTGGCACTGTTCAGTCCGAGCTAACCCAGCAGCTCTTACTACATTTAAAATGCAGAAACTTTGCGGCAGTAGTGAGCATCCTCCCTCCATCAACTAATCATCAACTACTTGATTATCTAATTAACCATTACTTAACATCCCTAGAATGTAGTCGTCTTCCCCCCATTTCCAAAAACCATAGTGTGGGAAGACTGGAGGAAAGACAACTGTGTTCCCATTTTGTCACAGTGAGATGCACCTCACCCATGTATTTAAGTAATGGACACCAGGTGGTCTGTCTTGACTCACTGGATCCACATCTGCATCTTAGACAAGTCTCTTTTCCTGAAACACCCCATCTTATTAGCAGGTAGTGTTCCTGCTTAGAGAGGTTGAGTGCTGCTGATGGATTGAGGCAGGTCGATGGCTCCTAACTCAGCCTGGTAGTAAGGGAAGTGGGAATGGCTCAAAGGTAAGGGAAGATTGAAGATACGTGCGAGGTGTCCTGACAGACCAACTCTAAGAGTAGCCAAGTCTGGGGAGAAGGTTTGAACTAGTACCGAATAAGGTACAATCATTAAAGCCAAATCCAAGAAACGGGTCAGTTTTTATTCATACTATGACATCACTTGTAGAATAGTTAGAAAAGATTTGAAAAGATGCTTGTATATTGTTTTTTCTGAAGCAACCTTTATTCTTTGTAGTTGTAAAGATAAAAATGATTAGGAGAATTTTAGTAAATTTACTGTCCCTCTTACTCCATTAAAAAACCAGGCAGCATAGATTCAAATATCAGTCTCCTGGGGTCTTTTTACTAATACCATTTTCAAGTGTGTTGCTGTTTTTCTCTTTAGAAGTTCAGAACCCTGTTCTATGCCAACTTCAAAATAAAACTCTTTGCTGACACGTAGATAATTCTGCATTTACTTGGAGTTGTTGTGGGTATTGCAACACTTGATTGAAATACTTGAGCAGAATGTATGACTGTTTAGCTGCAGGTACAGAAATCCAAGTACCTGGACCTGCATATGTTGGAGCTCATTTACCCTGGCCAAGTGAGTGTTTCATTTTGATACTGATTTTAGGCCCAGAATGCCAGCAACACAATCCTTGACATACTATTTGAGTGAATTTTTATTGTTTTTATAAGCAAGACCTGCTGTCTTGCTGCCACTCCAATTTGCGATAGTAAAGCTCTTCCTGCCTAGAGGTAAAGTTTCATGTGAAGGAGAAATAGCAACTTCTACTTCAGGGCTACTCAACTTTGGAAGCCCCAGAGGCCACAATGATATTCACACCACATACCCAGGGTTGCAACTTAAGTGTGGTGGCATATATATGCAAATATTATATGCATATAGTTTCTTTCACACTGACAGGCATGAATACAAACATTAAGGCAAGACTACACAACATGTAGGCCCCATTTAAGTTAGTTTTGCTGATATTAATAAAATGCAATATTTACCCAATTTCCAGGCATAAGACAGCACTTTTAATGAGCAATGACAGTCCAGGAATTTAACTATTAAAATGCATAGCAACAGAAGGCCATTATATTGACAATGTTTTGTTTTAGCTCCCATCCTCCGGCCGCATGTTGAGCCCCACATAAACCCAAACCGCACTGTAGGCTGCAAACAAACAGGTCATGAGCCATATGTTGAGTAGCCCTGTTCTACTTGGTCTCTTGTAGGAAAACTTTCCCCTTTGAAGTAGCTTATGTGTAAATCAGTGTAGAAAAATAAATTCATCAGTACCTTATAGCTTGTAATGCCTTTCTTCCAGGTTTTCAAAGTGTTTCCCATGCACTACTTAGTTAACACTTACAAAAGTCGAAGAGTATGGGAACTGTTGGACAGCTAATGGAAATGAGCACAAAGATGCCCAGATTTTACATATTGAGTCTGTAGTGAAGCCATTAGCAGACTCAGGTTTCCTGACTTACAGCCTCCTGTTTGAATGGGTAGGCAACAATTCTTCCTTGCGGGGTTGAAATTCAGAAGAGATTCTGAATTTTAAGTCTGTGTGAGAAGACATTATGGGACTGATCATCCTAAAATGTGTGCACATGCCTTTTAATTGTAAGCCCATACAGTTATGCAAGGGCCCCACTGGGCCTTGCAGGAAGCATTGAACTCCTCAGATGCCTCCATGTGGATGAGGAAAGATGCAGTAAAGTGTGAATGACAGGTGAAGAGGTATCATCTTGTCTCATGTGAGAATCCTGCAGCAACAGCTTTCTTATCTTCCTTCAACATCATTTCTCTATCACACTTGTCATTTCACTCATTACCATATATTATGAGCTGCTTTAAAGAAGCAAAATAACATACTGCCCTCTTGACAGGTGGAGCAATAATTATAATTTGAAGTGCTTATTGCAGTGATGAACTCAGAACAATTGCTCTGTTTTGGCTTCCAGTCTTTTGCAGTGTGATTCTATCAAGCTTCTTTGATTTCAGAAATAGCTGCAGTTTGTTTTGAATGCTGATGGTCATTTCCTCCTCCCCCCATTTTCCTGCTCTTATCATGTTGTACCTGTACCCTGTAATTGCCTCCTGTTCTTTTTCAGAAGAAAAGTAACTGGTGTCCTTCCATCCACAGAAAGGACCCTCATCAGGGACTGACAGAGTGAAGAAAGGTGGATCCTATATGTGCCATAAGGTAAGCTAAAGGAGTCCCTAGCAAATCTCATTGGTTCATCTGTTTTTAGTAATTGCTTGTTTTGAGGGGAGTGGGGGAGTTTGTCAGCATTTATTTATGAGATGAAGTGTAAATAAATATGTTTGGCTACGAGTACATTAGAGGAACCAGATACATGTTACACAGGAGTAGTTGAGAAATACTGCATAAATATTACATGGTTAAATTTTGTATTGCTCAGACCATTATACGTAATACCCTTGGAAGGATATGTAAATACAGGTTGACCCTCTCTAGTCGGGCGCTCAGTAGTATCCATGGTCCGGCATGATCTTAGTTAACTGGATATCTGATCATCATGGATATGGCCAAGTTTCCTGTGGTCCAATAAAGTTTGCTTATAGACACAAGTCCTGGTTCTCAGTAGTCTGTTCTGCTATTTAGCTCTAATTTACCCTTAAATGTCTTCTAAGAGCCCAGCAAGCAGTGGAAATGTTGATGATGCTGCTAGACAATATTGACCTCCCATGGTTCAGCAAATTCGCTGATTGGGAACCAGTCAGGTCTCCAGGGTGCCGGACTAGAGAGGTTCAGCCTGTATCTCAATGAAGTAAAATCAAGTTCCTGTATTACCAGAGATGATGAAATACCAGATTTCCACACCTAGAGATGTGATCTTAGAATACAGCTGTCCCAGCTTCAAGGGAGATGGTAGCCAATTTTGCAAATAAACTCCACCTATTGGTCTAGTTGATAACCATTTCCAGCAAAGTGTGGTAGGTTTGGCAGGATGCAAACTTGGTTGTAGAAACCCCAACTTTGTTCAGGGAAACAAACAGCCTCTTACTAAGTTAACAAAACCAACATTGTATTGACTGGAGAGCTGGAAAAAAGAGAATTTACTTCTTGCAAACATCATCAGACCGGAATTTGCGAAGTTATTGCAGTGTGAGTCCTTAATGGTTGCTCAACTCACCCAAATATTGTTCCATAAATAATGGAAAAGTCATACATTACTGGTGCTTCCCACATATATGTGCTCTTCTCAGTGTTCTGGGGACACTACATTTTTATTATGCCTTGTACCATTCCAGACCATTCTAACCTAGCTTCTCTTCAATTTTTGTATGTAGTGTCTTACTAGCAGCTCCTGACCAGTCATTTCCTGTTCAGCCTACAGCAGGGCTGGGCAACATAGGATACATGGGCTGGATCTGGCCTGTCAAGCCACCGGATCCAGCCCACGGACGCAGCAGGGAGCTTCAGGCAGACTTGCTGCTTGCCCCGGCCCCCACATGCTGCTCAGAAATCAGCTGCTGGGCTGTTTGTGTTTCTCAGCTGTGAGCTGGGGGGAGTGGGGAAAGGCTGCCCCAGCACAATCCCATTGGCTGAGTTTTGGCCAATGGGAGCTGAGGCTGTTTGAAGAACAGGAAGTACATGAAGCACTGCTCTTCTGCTCCCTCCCCTCCCCCCCAGCTCTTACTCACAGATGCGCATGACCCCTGCAGCCTGTGCAGCGGTGGGGCAGGCAGGGCAGCTGCCTGAGAAATGTCCTGGACTGCTGGCTGGGAGTCACTAGGCCAGAGCCTGCCTCTGACACCGCAGACCCTCCCTCCCCTCAACCCTTTGCCCCTCAAGTCCTCTCCTCCTACCCCACATAACCCAACCCTCTGCCCCTCTCCTGCACCCATTCCCCCTTCCAGATCCTTCACGCCAATCTCCTGCCCCAGATCACAATCCTCTCTTACCCTAGGTCATAACCCAAACCCCTACACCTCAATCCCGTGCCCCACGTCACATCTGCCTCCTTAATCTAAACTCCCTCACAGGCCTTCCTGCACCCCAGTCCCTTACCCGAAGCTCCCTTCTGCACCCATCCTCCATCCCAGATCCCACACCACCTCCATTAATATCATGGAAGAGTGCAGCCCTCAACCATTTACCAAAATCTTGGGATGCGTCCCCCCCTCCCCCCGCCCAGCAAAAATTATTGCCCACTTCTGGCCTACAGTATGCAGCCTTGAAGTCGACACCTAGTATTCAGTGCATGTGGAGGGGACGAGGTAATTTTATCTTTTTATGATAGCAAATATTGCTAGACATCTCGGGGGGCTTCCATACAATCTTTTTTTCTGACCAGATCTTTTTTAGATCAGATCTTCTTAAAATAAAATCTTGTGGTATCCAGGAGTCAATTACATGAGAATTGTTGGCATTGGTTTCTCTTTCTTTCCTAAAGAAACTTTGTTTAGAAGCCTTTGGCAAGCTAAACAGTTGTATTTATAAGTGCAAATTCTTTCGAGGTGCACCTTTCTAAAGACTTTTGAGAGAGTGTGGATTTTTGGGGAGTTTCCATTTCATATGTGCGTATGTTAAAGCTACTTATTTTATAAAGCATGGCAATTTGAAGCAATATCTGATAATGACATTTGATCTCAAAATGACTCTAGTTATGGCTAAAATTAGCAAGTAGTCATGGAAATATGCTAAATAACATTCTGCAGAATTCAGTGTGTTGCCTTTTTAGCTGTACAGCCAAAAATTCAGTATTGGAGAAGGGAACTGGTGTTCCTTTTTTAATGTTTCCAGTATTGTGGAATACAGCCAATGTTAGTGGTCTTTCTTGAACTAATTTCCAGCTGTCACTTTCGTTTTCTATGTTTGTAGGGCTGTGTGGTTTATTTTGGGAGCTTTACGCATTAAATCGACTAAATACCAGTGGAATGGGTAAATGTCAAGAGAACAAAGACCCTACCAAATTTGAAAACATGTACTCCACAATTCCAGATTAAATGAGTAGAGGATAGTACTACTTAAACTAGGTTTTAAATCAGAATTAGTATAGGAGTTAACATTGCAAGCACAGTTATATTAGTTATATACAGTGAATAGGCATATGACCGTTAAGAACTAAATTATCCTTGGTTTTTAAACATCCTCCTGCCTCTTTGTCTTGATGATGATGTGGTTATATTCCCAAACCCAGCAAAATAAGGGCTGGGAATTGCTTTATACTGCACCTTTCAGATGCCAATCATCTCAAAGTATAGTTAGATCCTGGTGTTGCAGGAAATATGTAGGTAAATGTAAAGTACTACAGGTTGACCTCCCTGGTCCAGCACCCTCAGGACCTGACTAGTCCTGGATGAGGGATTTTGCCAAATCAAGGGAGGTCATTTCTGGCCCCCCCCACCAGCTTCCTGCAGCTCTGGCCCCACCTCAGCCCTCCCAGATGGCTCTGCCCTCTCACTGGCCCCTGCTGCCCTGACAGCCCCCACTACGTTGCCAGGCAGCTCCACCTCTACTCATCAGGCTCTCGCTGCAACACCCGGCAGCCCCGCTGCCTCCGCATGCGCCGGACTTTCACTGCCACACCAAGCTCTCACTGCAGCGCCCAGCTCCTGCTGTCATGCTGGGTGGCTCTGCAGCCTCTGTGCACCTGGCTCCCGCTGCCCTACTGGGTCAGCCCCACTATCATGTATGGGACTCCCATTGCTCTGCTGGGAAACCCTGCTGGTACAACAGGTTCCCACTGCCCTGCAGCTGGCAGGGCTGTTAGTGCTCACTCTCCACTGGGGCTCTCTGGTACTGGAACATCCGCAGTCCTGACAGACTACAGACATTGCCGGACCAGGGAATCCCGGTTAAGAGATTTTTTTCAACATGTATTGAATTTGTAAGTGTCTGCTATTGCGACTGCAGTAGCCCACGCAGAATTGTGAATTAGAATACAAGATTAGAGACAGGAAGTTTTGGAACCATGAAATAGGATTATCCGTCGCTCATGTTATAAATTGCAATATATAGTTCTCAGATTGCTTCTGGACAGTGGTCAGAGCAAGGAGTTAATCTTGACAGTGTAACACCTCCATCTTCCCTGAGAAGTCTTTGCTCTAGGACTGTACTAGGTTTCATAGAATACTAGAACTGGAAGGAACCTAGAGTAGTCATCAAGTTCAGTCTCTTGCACTCATGGCAGGACCAGACACCATCTAGACCATTTCTGACAGGTATTTGTCTAACCTGCTCTTAAACATTTCCAAAGATGGAAACTCCACAACCTCCCTAATCAATTTATTCCAGTGCTTAACCATCCTCACAGTTAGGAAGTTTTTCCTCGTGTCCAACGTAAACCTCCCTTGCTGCAATTTAAGCCCATTGCTGCTTCTCCTTGGTCTCATTCCTTTTTGTAACATCGTTTTAGGTACTTGGAAGCTGCTATCATGTCCCCTCTCCGTCGTTTCTTCTTCAGACTAAGCAAACTAAGTTCTTTCAATCTTGCCTCCTAGCTCATATTTTCTAGACCTTTAATCATTTTTGTTGCTCTTCTCTGGACCTTCTCCAATTTGTCCACATCTTTCTTGAAATGTGGTGTCCAGAACTGGACACAATACTCCATTTAAGCCTTAATCGGCATAGAGTAGAGCAGAAAAATTTTCTCCTATCATGTCTTACTATACTCATGTTAATACATCCCAGAAAGATGTTTGCTTTTCTGCAGCAGTGTCTCACTGTTGACTTATTTAGCTGGTGGTCCACAATGACCCACTAGATCCCTTTCTGAAGTACTCCTTTGTAAGCAGTCACTTTCCATTTTGCATGTGTGAAACTGACTGTTCCTTCCTAAGTGGAGTACTTTGCATTTGTCCTTATTGAATTTCATCCTGTTGACCTCAGACTATTTCTCCAGTTTTTTTTCCAGATAATTTTGAATTTTAACCCTGCCCTTTAAAGCACTTGCAACCCCTCCCAGCTTGGTATAAGTGTGTACTCTATGCCATTATCTAAATTGTTGATGAAGATATTGAACAGAATCAGATCCAAAACTGATCCCTGTAGAACCCCACTTGTTATGCCCTTCCAGCATGATTGAGAACTGTTTCCGAACCAGTTATGCACCCACCTTATAGTAGCCCCGTCTAAATTGTATTCCCCCAGTTTATGTATAAGGAGGTCATGCAAGACTGTATTGAGTGCTTTCCACTTGTTAAGTCTAAATCCTAGTTTTGAAACTGAACTTG